TATTTTCAATTGTCTGTGATTTCCTGACATCTCCTTAAATACAAAAGGAGAAAAGGGAGGAAGGAATGGAGCTGGTAGAGGAGGGAGGGAGGGAGGAAGGAAGGAAGGAAGAGGGTAGAGAGAGAATACAGAGTTGGTTTCTCATGTAATCTTTTCCAGGTAATCTCTAGAAAAATATGAGAGACTAATCTGCACCCCAGATTTGCCCAGGCTCTTCACAGATATTCACAGACACTCAGATTAACACCTATTAGTACAGTACAACCATGAATAGTCTCTGTTCTAGAATGACTTCCGGCAGTATCAGCTTTCCAGCATCTCTCAGGAGCCTTCTGAACTAGAGAAAGTGAGATACATCTGAGTGCAAATTCAGAAGACTATGTATTGTGCTGACATCTTAATGTGCAAGGTAGACATTCTTTTTAGTTATCTGCATCTTTGTGTCTGTTTACATAGAGAGATGAATTATCTATTTTCTGGACTAATAGATTTGGCTATACAAATACATCTGAGGCTGTGATACACTGACTTACCTACTTCTGTTGTTATTTAGTCCCTAAGTCGAGTCCAACCCTTTTGGGACCCCATGGACTGTAGCCTCCTCTATCTATGGGATTGCCCAGGCAAGAATACTGGAGTGTGTTGCCGTTTACTTCTCCTGAGGATCTTCTAGATCCAGGGATCAAACCAGTTTTTCCTGCATTGGCAGGCAGATTCTTTACCACTGAGCCACCAAGGAAGCCCGTATCTACTTTTAAGTATATCAAAGATGTATTTCTAAATCAAAGTTAAATTAACAAACGTCTTCCTTTCTGTCCTATAGTTTCATGAACTTGAAATCAGAGTTCTGAAAGGTATACAAATTATATTGCTTCACAAATATACTAAGAATGGCACAACTTTAACAAGTTATAGTGAAGAATATTTCTTCTTGGATAACAATTTATCTTGTTAGAATGAGATGTAGATGAGGGATAAAGATCAATTAATAGTATATAGATATGAGGAGGTATTGAGAACTTTCCAGATATCTAACAATGTTAATCCATTCCTGTGATAAACATTAAAAATCAGTTATGATCTCTGTCCTCAAGGATTTTATATTCTCACTATATTTAGCAAAGTGAAACTATGTTCTTAGTCATTTCATTAATATCAGATAAAGCAAATGCATTTCTACTAGTCTAGACTCAGATAAACCTGGATAAACTTCTACTCTTTGCATTTCACGGAAGTCCTCCAAAAAGGCCAATTAAGAATGGAGTGTAATTGTTTAAAACAAGTGAACTTTGCAGCCAGGAGGCTTGAAATCAAGTTCTGGGTAATCTTAATAAACTGTTTGACTTCACAGAGCATCTATTTTTCTATCTTGGTAATGGTATCATTAACAAATTCCACCATTTGGAGTGTTGTATTGAGCTGAAATAAGGTACTCAAATGCCCTGAAACTATAAAGATATGCTATCACTATGGCATCAAACTACCATATAGTTTCAGGAAACTTAGGACCCTTGTTTCTTTCTAAAGAGAAGGGCACTTTTTTTTCAGTGGGCCATACCTCCACTCACCTCTCGGGGAAGGGTATATCAAAGGTACCCTGGAATCTGGAGAGCATCCCCTCTTGCTTTTTGGTTATCGTTCACATATTTGTCTTCATCTTTCTTATTTTAGTGGCCTTCTTTGACTGGGATTTCAATGTACTATGAATTTTCCCCTATTATTACTTTTATTTCTCTTATATAGTACTAAAAGGAGGCACTAAGATTTTGCTACACTTTAGCCAAGATAGTGAAGTAAAGCCTTTCACTTCACCAAGTTAAAAAAGCAACGGTAATCATTTATAAAAGTGATCTCAGATTGTGGCTGTACTTCTCAGTCTTCCACTTGGACCATTCTTATTTCTCTTTTACTGCACACACGTATAGGTTTAGCTCTTGTACACAAAAATAGGGAGGAAATAAAGTTAGAGTCATAGTCCATTGAAATTTGGTTTTATTATTGTTTTATCTTCAACAGCTCTGCTCAAAAATAAACCATTAGTAAAGAAACAATGGATTGGTTCATTGGGACAGGAGTATGTCAAGGCTGTATATTGTGACCCTGCTTATATAACTTATATGCAGAGTACATCATGCAAAATGACAGGCTGGATAACTCACAAACTGGAATTAAGATTGCCAGGAGAAAAATCAACAACCTCAGATATGCAGATGACACCACTCTAATGGAAGAAGAAGAGAAACTAAAGAGCCTCTTGCTGAGGGTGAAAGAAGAGAATGAAAAAGCTGGCCTAAAACTCAATATGCAAAGAACTAAGATCATGGCAACCGGTCTTATCACTCCATGGCTAATAGATGGTGAAAAAGTGGAAACAGTGACAGATTTTATTTTCCTGGGCTCCAAAATCACTGCAAACAGTGACTGCAGCCATGAAATTAAAAATACTTGCTCCTGGAAAGGAAAGCTATGACAAACCTTGAGAGTGTATTAAAAAGCAGAGACATCACTTTGCGGAAAAAGGTCTGTAGAGGCGAAGCTATGGTTTTTCCAGTAGTCATGTACAAATGTGAAAGTTGGACCATAAAGAAGGCTGAGCATAGAAGAATTGATGCTTTCAAGTTGTGGTGCTGGAGAAGACTCTTGCGAGTCCCTTGAACTCCAAGGAGCTCAAACCAGTCAATCTCAACCCTGAATATTCATTGGAAGGAGTGATGCTGAAGCTGAAGCTCCAACATTTTGGCCACCTGATGCGAAGAGCCCAGTTCATTGGAAAAGACCCTGATGCTGGAAAGGATTGAGGGCAGGACGAGAAGGGGGCAACAGAGGATGAGAAGACTGGATGGCATCATCGATTCAGTAGACATGAGTGTGAGCAAACTCCAGAAGACACTGAAGAACAGGGAAATTTGGCATGCTGCAGTCCAAGGGGTCACAAAGAGTTGGACACGACTTAGCAACCGAACAGCAACAGCAAAGGAAAAATAAAAGTAAATACTCTTTTTTTTTTTATAGTAAATACTCTTAAGGTGTTTTTTTTTCTTCTTGCCTGAACGTTTATGTGCTGAGGAAAATGGACATTTATGCTTGAGATATGTTTCAATACACATAGTACAAGTAAATTGTAAAACTTCAAACACTCTTTAGACAAAAATAACACAGGTTCACAGACTCTTCTGAGCAATTTCTAAAGTTAAGTCTGAAACAATGGAACTTCTGAAAATGAATTAGCTAACTTTTGACATGTCTTATATTCATATTTTGGAGAAGGAAATGGCAACCCACTCCAGTAGTCTTGCCTGGAGAATCCCATGGACAGAGGAGCCTGAAGGGCTGCTGTCCATATGGTCGCACAGAGTTGGACACGACTGAAACGACTTAGCATGCATGCATGCACTGGAGAAGGAAATGGCAACCCACTCCAGTGTTCTTGCCTAGAGAATCCCAGGGACGGGGGACCCTGGTGGGCTGCTGTCTATAGGGTCGCACAGAGTCGGACACGACTGAAGTGACTTAGCAGCAGCAGCAGCATATTCATATTTTAAGTTAATGATTTTTAAAAGCATAAGCTTTTACTTTAACATGTATAGAAAACTACATTTATTTTCCTGAAATCAGACCAATCATAAGCCCTGATTTTCTTATACTGGTAGTTGGCTGAATCTTTCACACAACAGAGCATCAGCGAATAGGTGTTTTCCTAGACAAGTTTCAGAAATAATATACTTCATTTTTACCTTACCTAGATCAAGAAAATTTTCAATTTTCACCCAGTCGCAAACATTATTCAAAACAAATTTCTCAATAAAAAGTAGGTTTAGGGAGATGTATAGTACTGAGTTCTGGCAGCCCAGCCTCTAGCAATCCACCACAGCCGAAAGGTGTCTTGGTCCTCTAAACCATCAAGGAAGGCCCAGGAAACTTCTGGTGGGATAGGCTGAGGGTTAAAGGTCATGAGGAAACATAAGCAAAATTGAATTAAATCAGAACCCAGAATTCCAGACTGACATGTTTCTGCTAAGGTACTCCAGGTTTTGAAGAAGAACGTGAAGAGTGAACTGAGAAAGATCTGATACCTGAACACATATACTGCTTGTCATTAACATACTCTCCTTGTTAGAACAATGTGCCATCAAAGGTGCAAATTAAGATAATCTCCAGCATTTTCCTTCATTTGCATACATCTTTCTTAACTTCAGGCTCCAGAGAGGTCAAAAGAGGTGTGGAGTCACATGCAGACCACCCGCACTGAATCTGCTTTGGGGATTTTGCCTCCCCCTTCCTCTTGAGATGGGGCAAAACGTGCTTTCTGCTCACAGACTTTCACCGAATCGGGCCCAGCAACCTCGTGACCACTTTCCTCGCAAGAGAATGGTCGGTCCGCCAACCCCGGGTCACCTCGGCCTCAACTCAGCAGATCAGGGCCCGGGAACAAGGCGTGTGTCTCAGACTTCAGGCTGCGGGAGGAGGGCCGGGCGGAGTGTCCGCGTCCCACCGCAGGACCCGGATTGAGGGAGAGAGAAACAAGCTTGAATGGGACGGCAACTTGGAAGTGTTTTTAAGGTTTCCTGAAATGGGCAAATGCGCGCTTAAATCCATCCAGCTCGGGAGCTTTCGAGGGCATCCCATGCCTTCTGTGCCCGGAACGCCCACAGGACCCTGGCCGAGAGGGGGCGAAGGTGTCCCGACTCTAAGCCCGCCCGCCCGGGCACCAGGGCGGCGCCGCCCGCGGAGCGCAGGGCCGCAGGCGCCGGGCTCGGAGCCCTAGCGGCTGCGTCCGCAGCTCGTCACGCCGCGCCGGGGCGGGGGTGGGGCGGAGGAACTACCGGAGGTTCGGAACTTGGAGACCGCGCTCCGCACCCAGTCCCGCCGGCGCAGAGCTGCGGCTCCGGGGGTGGCGCGGCCCCTCGGGGTCGGGAGGGGTTGGGAAGGAGACAGGTGAGACCCGGCGCCCTCCCAGCGCCAGCCTTGCCCCCGCCGCCCTGCCCCGAGAGGGCACTCACCGGCTTTGCACGGGTCCTTGTAGTCCAGCGCCTCCGCCTCATCCTCTCCGTAGCCACCGAAGGTGTAGTCATAGTCGAGGCCAGCGCAGACCCCCAGTTCCGCGCAGAGGACAACCCCCGTGGCCGCCAGCCACGCGAGCATCCCCGGGAAAAGCCTCTCCAGCCCCATCTTCCTCTCGAAGAAGGGCACCGGTTCCTGTCCCCGCGGAAGGCTCCTCGGCGCGGCGGGCGCTCAGGTGTCCGGGGACATGGGGCGCCGCCGGGCGGAGAGAGGGCAGGGCGACCTGTCCCCCGGCGCGGGCGAGGTGGCGGGCGGGGGCAGGTAGGGAGCGGGTCCGGGCGGGCGCGCGGCCAGGCTGTCTCCCGGCGGCCGTCCTTTCAGCAACTCAAAGGCTCGGCTGCCCCAGGCTCAGGTTCTCGGGCTCAGATCCCGCGTGCACCCCGCACCTAGACCCGGTGCCGCTCTGGGAGGACAAGACCAGTCTTCACATCAGCGCGTCTGAGCTGAAAGTGGGGTCCGCGGTCGCGGGTGGGGGGCAGACATTCCTTTGCCGCCAGACCTTAAAAGCCGCAGAAGCAGCAAAGCAAGACTGCGAGAAGAGCGAAAGTGGGAGGATTTGGGGATGCACTGTTTGTCTTTTCCCCTCAGGCTGTCTTTTTACCCTTTTCCTAACTTGGAAAAAAAAAAAAATCTTCACAGCATCTAACCCAATCACTTGCATCCTGCTTACTTATTCATACAATCAGGGTCAGGATCCGGGCCACAGCCTCCTCTCCGCCTCCTTTCGGTAGCCCTGTAGGAGCAGACAGACGCGAGCGCGCCGAGAATTCCATTTGTAATTTACTAAAGATAAAAATGAATATATCATGCACTGCGTCCACGAACAGCAGTTAATAGATGATGTACGTGCCAGCCGAGAGCGCCAGACCGGGGGTGGGCCAGGGATGCTGACAACTTGGCTCAAACCTCCACTTCCTCCCCAACACAAGCAGTTTGCGTCTCCTCTTTGCCGCCTTTGCCTCGGTGCAGCCCGAGGGGAGGAAAAATGGGCCTCCGCGACCGAGGTAAGGAAATTGACTGCTTTCAAAGTCCCCGAACCAGCAAAGTTTTCCTAGGAACTGAGATCCTCAGAACTGCAGTTTAAAAAAAAAAAAATCCAAAATCCAGTTACAGATTGCAGCAGCAGGAAACGCGAAGACCTAGCCAAGGGCTGCGCTGTGGCTCACACGGGCTCAGGAAGGGAAGTTGGAAGGAACACTTGGGAAGCAAATTTTCTGTGACAGCTCTGGCGCCCATGCCCAGAGTTGTTCAGTATCCTCTGGCTTCAGTTTTACTTCGGAGGAGAGTGTGTAAAACCTGGCAGCAGGATTAGCGAGGTAAACCACATGTCAGCCTAGCAGACATAGGACAAACACAGGCTGTGGGAAATTGGGGAGAAAAAAAAAGTCAGAGGAAATCTCTGCAAAGCGCCTGTTGTGAGCAATCCCTACATCTGCAAGTAGTTTCCAAAATAGGTGAGAGGGCTTCTCCCCCAAATTTCCAAAGGACTCATGATTGGGAGCCTTCCCTTTTCCAACTAAATCTTGAACTATTACTTTCGCAGGGATTTGTAAAAAAAAAATCTTCTGTTGCCTTTACATCTTAAGATTTAAATATCCCCCCCCCTTTTTTTTACACTCTCATCTAGAGGAAAATATGAAGGTAACCACAGTCATGTGCACACACACACAAATTTTTCACAGGTAGGCCCAGTCTTTGGTTAGGAGATTTGACTATGTTTTATGTTTATTAAAGAAAAATTAGAGGCTAAACTTGGAAGAGCTATCAGTTACTTCCAACATAGAGTAAAAATGATGGGAGGATTGTGTAAAACTGAATGAGTCCATGTTCCTGGCAAAAATGGGGTTTTCTCAAAAGCCACTGCAATGATGGAATCTCTCCTCCACAGATCTCAATCTTCTCACCCCAGGTCATAGAACAGAGAACAGTTCTGGAAAGAACATGTTCGATAAGCAAGTAGAAGTATTTGGTTTTGAAATCTCTTGCTGAGTCATTCTCAAATTCTTTTACATCAAAAAATGTTTGCATAATTAATAGTGGTAGTCTTCTAGTGCAAGGCTAAACAAGAATCTATTTTGCTTAGCCTATTTGAAAGCCCAGGAAATACAACTTTCCTTTGGAGGATCTTCTTGAACTGCTGACTCCCTACTCCCTACTGCCAGACCTTTAAAATGTCCCTTGTTAATCTAAATGACTTACAAACATCTCCTTAGAGTATTTTATCATATGTGAATTTGCAAAAGTTTCTACCTGGAGTTTGACTAAAGGTCACTTACTTTGCAGTAATAACTGTTTCATTCATTTGTCTTGAATAAAATATTACCAGATAGGGACATATGCCTATTATGTTTTCCTTACAGAATTTATCATTACTCAGCTTTACAATGTTATAAATTTGTAACCTGGAGTTAGAATGAATGACATATAGAAGCTCAAATCAAAATATAGAAGTGTTTGTTTATAGCTAAAATACTTGCAGAGAATTCTTGCTTACATCACTATACCCTAGACCTCAAACCCCTGATTTATTTTTAAATATGTATTAAATCTAATTCTGTTTTTCATAATAAAATACCTACTTTTAAGTTTTATTTCTACAGTTACTATGATTGTAAACAAAAATAGATTTTGCCTTGCCCCTGAAAATATAAATTGGTAAGAATGTATAAGAGAACATAAAAAACAAGAATATGCATATGAGAAAGGAGTTGAATGTTCTGTCAGAAGTACTAGCCATATATATGTGCCCTATATGAATCCAGTCTCCTGGGAAGATAAAAGAGGAGACTGATCCTTTAGTGAGACATCCTAAAGAAACCTTGGTTTTTAGCTGGCAGCTGCCTCTGACCACCCTTGTCACTTGCAGCAGAATCCCATTGACCCCAGCAATCCTAGGGAGGAAGGCACCCAAAATAGCTGAAGTAAGAGGTATTCTCTATGCCGCTTTTCTATCTTGTTTGATATCACAGTAGTTAAACTTGTCTTGTAGACAACATCAGTTAGAAATGTCTATTTTCTAATCAAGTCAATTTATTATTAGCTAGTAGTGATTGTTTGCTATGAAACCATATAATGCATGAATATTTTCCCCTCATTTCCTTGTAAAAAAGATAACTCAGACATATATAGAATAAAAATGTGTCTCTCTCTCTCCCTTGGTTTCACCCCTGGGAACTCTGTCAACTTACTAACTAAATAGTGTGCATATATCTTGGCTCCATGAAATTGGGAGACACTGTTTTTTATGGCTTTTAGCTACTCCAGACCTTTTAACTCCCTTTCACCCCATTTTTATAGGACCCTCTCCAGCACACATAAGACTTGTTTTACCTTCTTTCTTCTAAGGTTCTCTCTCTCAGCCTTGAGCAATTCTTCGAGGCATCTCTAATTTTTAATTCAGAGTCCCAAATGTGACTGATGCTATGTGAGGTCATTTTGGGTGATAAACTTAAAACATTTCTAAGAGTTATACATGTGTGTGTAATAGAAAAACTTACCCGAATTTGCAGGGGTGTATGCATGTCTTAAAGGCTTCCCCAGTGGCTCAGCAGTAACAATCACCTGCAATGCAGGAGATGTAGTGTTCGATTCCTGGGTGAGGAAGATATCATGGAGGAGGAAATGGCAACCTGCTCCTGTATTCTTGCTGGTAAAATTCCATGGACAGAGGAGACTTTTGGGCCACAGTCTATAGGGTCACAAAGAGCCAGCAACTGCACACACACACATGCTGCTTAGATTTTAAAAGTTAGCTGTTTTATGAAATTAAGTGAATGATATAGTTCAGTTCAGTCGCTCAGTTGTGTCCCATGGACCACAGCACACCAGGCCTCCCTGTCCATCACCAACTCCTGGAGTCCACCCAAATCCATGTCCATTGAGTTGGTGATTCCATTCAACCATCTCATCCTCTGTCATCTCCTTCTCCTCCTGCCTTCAATCTTTCCCAGCATCAGGGTCTTTTCAAATGAGTCAGCTCTTTGCATCAGGTGGCCAGAGTATTGGAGTTTCAGCTTCAACATCAGTCCTTCCAATGAACACCCAGGACTGATCTCCTTTAGGATGGACTGGTTGGATCTCCTTGCAGCCTGAGGGACTCTCAAGAGTCTTCTCCAACACCACAATTCAAAAGCATCAATTCTTCAGCACTCAGCTTTCTTTAAAGTCCAACTCTCACATCCATACTTGACCACTGGAAAAACCATAGCCTTGAATAGATGGACCTTTGTTGACAAAGTAATGCCTCTGCTTTTCAATATGCTGTGTAGGTTGGTCATAACTTTCCTTCCAAGGAGTAAGCAGCTTTTAATTTCATGGCTGCAATCACCATCTGCAGTGATTTTGGAGCCCCCCAAAATAAAGTCAACCACGGTTTCCACTGTTTCCCCATCTATTTGCCATGAAGTGATGGGACCAGATGCCATGATCTTAGTTCTCTGAATGTTGAGCTTTAAGCCAACTTTTTCACTCGCTTCTTTCACTTTCATCAACAGGCTCTTTAGTTCTTCAGTTTCTGCCATAAGGGTGGTGTCATCTGCATATCTGAGGTTATTGATATTTCTCCCGGCAATCTTGATTCCAGCTTGTGCTTCTTCCAGCCCAGCGTTTCTCATGTTGTACTCTGCATATAAGTTAAATAAGCAGGGTGACAATATACAGCCTTGACGTATTCCTTTTCCTATTTGGAATCAGTCTGTTGTTCCATGTCCAGTTCTAACTGTTGCTTCCTGACCTGCAAATAGGTTTCTCAAGAGGTGGGTCAGGTGGTCTGGTATTCCCATCTCTTTCAGAATTTTCCACAGTTTGTTGTGATCCACACAGTCAAAGACTTTGGCATAGTCAATAAAGCAGAAATAGATGTTTTTCTGGAACTCTCTTGCTTTTTCGATGATCCAGCAGATGTTGGCAATTTGATCTCTTGTTCCTCTGCCTTTTCTAAAACTAGTTTGACCATCTGGAAGTTCACGGTTCACGTATTGCTGAAGCCTGGCTTGGAGAATTTTGAGCATTACTTTGCTAGCGTGTGAGATGAGTGCAATTGTGCCGTAGTTTGAGCATCCTTTGGCGTTGCCTTTCTTTGGGATTGAATGATATAGGCAGCCCATGAG